TCGACCCTGCCTTGAGTGTGACAGGGGGCGGTGCCCCAACCCCTCAATCGGCCGTACCCTGAGCATGACTGAGGGTGGCATTGCAACCTCCCAATCCGCCCTGCTCTGTGCATGACAGGGGGTAGCGCCCCAACTCCCCAATCGGCCCTGCTCTGAGCCTGACCAGGGGCTGCACCTAGGGATTGGGCCTTCCCTCTGCCACCCGGGAGCAGGCCTAAGCCAGCAGGTCGTTATCTCCCAAGGGGTCCCAGACTGCGAGAGGGCACAGGCCAGGCTGAGGGACCCCCTCCCCCCGAGTGCACAAATTTTTGTGCACCGGGCCTCCAGTGTTATATAAATGGGATCATGTAGTATGGAATCTTTTGAGGTTAGCTTTTTCACTCAGTATAATATCAGAAGTTTCTATTTTAGGGAATACAGGTTAATGATTATGACTTTATATTTGTCTTGGATAAAATGATATAAAAATGTCTACCTCCCCGATTTACCTAATAAATGGTCTTATTTCTGACCTATACTGGTATTTTTACATTGCTTTTTTGTCTCAAGGAGTCCTAACTGTAAATATAAATAGGGTAATGTTTGTTAAATATTAACTACCACTGCATACTGGAATACCTTAAGGTAAATGTTCAAAGTTGTATGTTGTCCAAACATCATAAAGGTGGGGGGTATCGTTTATCAGATAAAGGTGTTTCAGAGGAATTTCTTAGACAAATTAAAATAAAAACACAAGGAAGGCAAAATGTTAGACAATTTATAAACTACATTATTATGACTGTTTTTATTGATTTCAGAGAGGAAGGGAGTGGGGGAGAGAGAGATAGAAATATCAATGATGAGAGAGAATCATTGATCGGCTGCCTCCTGCACACCCCACACTGGGGGTCAATGGAGCCCAAAACCTGGGCATGTGCCTTGACCGGGAATTGAACCAATAGCCTCTTGGTTCCTGGATCGATGCTCTACTGCTGAGCTACACCGGCCAGGCTAACTGTCTTACATTTCAAAAGTATAGAGCAATTAGCAATACGGAATGCTACCTTCTTCACTGCCGGGGTCCAACCCCAGCAGGTCCAGGGGTTCCCAAAGGCGTAGACGGAGTCGGCGAAGAAGAAGGAATGACACGGAGACAGCGTTCAGTTGATCAGCAGCCTCGCCAGGATCTCTAGCCAGGATCTCCATCCAAGTTCTGGTCTGGATCTCCAGCGAAGTTCTGGTTAGGATCTCCAGCCAGGTTCTGTGTCCATGTTCTCTTGCTAGGTTCTCCAGCCAGGTTCAGTCACCAGGTTCTAGTCAGGTTCTCTTGCCAATTTCTGTAGTCAGGTTCAGTCCAGGATCTTTTGCCATGTTCTCTCCCTAGGTTCTGAGGCCAGTTTCTGTCCAGGATCTTTTGCCATGTTCTCTCCAGCGAAGTTCTTCTGTCTCTAGAGAACGTTCTGTGTAGGTTCTGTGCCTAGGTTCTGTCTCTCTTGGTTCCGTATTCTAAGTTCTGTGTCTTGCTGTCTTATTACATCTGTATTTATACCAGTTGATTCAATCCTATCAATCTCTATTACAAAGGTTAGGGCGTTTCTTATCTCCATTCCAGGGAGTAAAGATTATGTAGCTTAAGCATGATTGTTCGTAGTTAAAGTGATTAATTACCCACCTGGCACTAGTTAAGAGGTTTTATTCCCTCCCTAACTTCAGGGGAAAATCCCTACCTGGGGAAACAACCTTTCTCAGAGAGGAGACCTTGGTTAAAACACATAGTGCCAAGAAGGTGAGCAAACATATTAAGAACAGTATGCCATATATGCCAGGTCCCTTGAAACAGCAAGCATGGACCGGCTCCCGGCACTTCACCATTAAGAAACAAGCAGTATACAGAACAGAAAGCTTCCATGCCACGCCAGGTCATGTGAGTGATATTTGATCACTCAGAAACTCAGAAACTTTTACTGAGGACATGGTTTTTCCATGCCTTCTGAATTCTGGAATAGCCAGGATTCTAAAAGTAGTCCTAGAAGACCTAAATTCCATCCTTTCCCCTGTTTTTGAATCACAGGGACTCACAAACCTATGGAGCTCAGTCCATGAGAAGTCTTGAATTTAGAACCAAAAATTAGGGAAGAGAGAAAGGTTTCACCTTTTTGTTTTCTTTGTCAACTGTTTTCTTGTATCTAGGCTTCTGTTATTAAAACTACATGCTAAGTGGTTAGGAAATGTCATACAGTTTTGTTCACTTTAGTCAGGTACATTGTCTTTACAGTGGAGACTTTTCAGAGTTATTGTTAATAATAAGGACAATGAATTTCAGACAGACTTTCACATTTATCTTTTTTATTTTTGTTAATTCTCATATGAGGATATTTTTCCATAGATTCTTAAAGAGAGTGGAAGGGAGAGGGAGAGACAGAGAGAAAGAAACATCAATGTGAGGCACATCAATTGATTGCCTCACGAATGTGCCCCAAGCAGGCTGGGGATTGAGCCTGCAGCCAAGGTATGCCCTTGACAGGAACTGAACACGGGACCCTCAGTCAGTGGGTTGACACTTTATCCACTGAGGCAAACCAGCTAGGGCAACATTTATTTTTTAATATTGAAATTTGTTAGCTATCTTAAGGAGTAGGGCTAAGAGAAAGACAAATCTTGTTTAAGTAAAGTATAAATTGACACAGCCTTTTGGGAATCATTTTGGCAATATTTATCATATTTGAAAATGCTTATACTCTGTTCTGCAATTCTACTTCTAGGAATCTATTTTTTCAAATATAATCATATGTATGCAAAGATGTTCAGACATATGTGATATTCTTTGCAATATTGTTAGTTATTTTAAATAATTAGAAGCAATGAAAATTTCCACTTTTTTGTAAAATGTTAAATCATGGTACATGGAACTAGGAAATACCATGAAAGATTAAAAAAGAATGAAGTATATGAAAAATACTGATGTGAAAAAAAAATCTCCAAAATTATCAAATGAAAAGAGCAAATGAAAAATGGTGAGGGTTTGGTTTGGAAGGATGCATAGAGAATTGTTATACTGGTTATCATGGGCAAGGGGTGGCTTGTGAAGAAAAATAATTATAACTTTTTAATATTTAATACTTTGAAATTTTCAAAATGAGCATGATTATATATATATATATTTAAATATATTTTTATTGCCTGTAGAGAGAGAGGGAGAAGAGAGAGAGAAATATCGATGTGAAAGAAAAACATCAATCAGTTGCCCCCTACAGGGATGGAGTCGGAGACCTGGGCATGTGCCCTGACCTGAATGGAATCTGGGACATTTTTGTGTACAGGAGGATGCTCAAACAACTGAGCCACACCAGCCAGGGTTATCATTATATTTTTTGTATAATCAACAGAATATATCCCCCAAACAACAACAGCAAAACTGTTATCAGCTACTTATCTTGCTGATATTTTTAATATCCATCTGGCAATTTACAAACTGCAACCTAATATTTGGCTTAACATACAAAACAAAATATATTCGACCTTTTGGAAAGAGGGACTGAGATCAGATACAGTACCTTAAAGGTACCTGAGATATCTGAAAATTGTTATTGACCAATAAATAAATAAATAGACTGAACCACAGAATCCATTCAACCATGAAGGCTGGAACCTGATTTTCTGGGTACCCCTGCAGTGCTTGACACATAGTAAACAATAAATATTGGCTGAATGATGGATAAATAGCTCAAATCTTTTTAGTAGCACCTACTTATTTAAAAGCATACCTGTGTGACATTTCTCTCATCTTTACAGTTCAATATGTATTTCTATTTCCCTTCTTCTCTAAAATCAATTTAAAAAAGTTAAATAAATAAAAGCATACCTGTTACTTGCGCTTGTCACTTGCTTTTCAAATTGGGGGGCAGAGAGGGAGCAGCCCTTTCTTTCTGCTTAGGAGGCTAGGAATTTGGTCCAGGACAGAGTTTAGTGGCTCACGTTTTGGTGACCTGTGACTTGAAAGCATCATTCAATTTCAGAACTAGATAGAAGAGGGAAATTATATATATATATTATATATATATATAATATATTACGTAAATTTATATATAATATACATAAAATTATAGATATACATAATTTTGCTCAAACCAGAGGAAAAGGCTCTAGTAGTGGCTGGGAATATGGGCCAATCACCGCACTCACGTCTAAATCTTTATGTGAAAAACGGGAATCACTCCCTCATAGATTTGTTGCTTGTTTTTTTTTTTTACATGGAGAAAAAAGGAAAACTTCTATAAAATGCTGGTATTAGGGTGGTCATTCCATATTGTGCAACGAATGTTTCAAGATAAATTAAATCTCAGACTGTGGGGTCGAAAAGCCCCCGGAGACGAAAACTACAAAAAAAAATCAAATGTTCCCCAATTCGGTGAAGTCTCTTTCATCTCATTCGCCGTCATCGCCACCACACCTAGCGGGCAGGTGCGGGTCCCACCGTCCACTCCCAGCGCGCAGCCGGCGGGCCCCGCACCGGCTGGAGTTCGCCCCCGCGGGGGTCCCGAGCCCGGGCTTCCTCGAACGGCAGCGCCCGGGACGCGGAGGACGACAGCGCACGCCTGGCCTCCGTGCTTGGCCAGGGCCGAGCCGCCGACAGTCTCGCCCACCCGGGATAATTACGCCGCGGTTCGGAGGCTCTCGCGGGACGTCCTTACCTACTCTCCGGAGTCGGGTTCCCAGGTTTTCCCAGCCGGTAGAGGGAGGTACCGAAGCCAGACGGCCGAATGCGGGCGGGAGGGCGGGGCGGCGCAGCGGGAAGCACAAGGCGCGCGCTCCCGCGGACTCCGGAGGGAGACGGCGGGCGGGGCGCACGCGCGCGCCGGGGCGAGAGGCGGGGGGCGGGGTCTTAGGAAGCCCGCCGGCAGAGGGCGCGCTGGAGCCGGGCTGGAGGTCGGCAGGGGGCGTGGCCAGGGGAGGGCGTCAACGCCAGGGGGCGGGGCGGGGCGAGGCGGGGACGCGCTTGCGGGGTGGGGAAGGCGGGGGCGCGGCGGTGGCGGGAGCGTCCCTGGTTTCCGCCCCTGTTTCCCACTCTCCTTCCACCTCCGACCCGCCGGGGCTGTGGACAGGCTCCGCTGGCCCGTCCCCCGGAGCCGCCCCGCTGCTGCCGCTTCCTCCCTCCGCTCGCCGTGAGCCCGGCAGTCTCCGCACTGTGCGCTCCCCCGTCTGGGCCATGGATGGGTAAGTGCTCGGCGGTGCGGCGGTCGTGCGGGGCTGCGCTTGTCCCGCTTCCTTTCGGCTCAGGTCCGGACGCGCCGAGGCCGGGAAGCTGGGTGCGGCACCGGCGGTCGGAGGAGCGGCCCCGGCCGAGCCCGACGGCCGGGCTTCCGGGCGCCTCCTAGGGGAGCTCGGATTGCGGAGGGGCGGTCCGCCACCGCCTCGCCTTCCCCCCCGTAGGGCGCCCCCGTAACATCCGCCCCTCACACCGGGAAGTGGAGGAGAGCCCGGTGGAGCCGCCCGGGGGTTGGGGGCCGGCCTCCGCGCCGAGGGTCGGGGAGCCCTGCCCGGCCTCTCGACACTTCCTCTCTGAAAATGGTGCGCGGCGCTGGGGGAGGCGGAGGCGGCGCTCGGGGCGGGCGTCCTCCCGCTTGGGGAGTTGCTGTTTACCGGCGAGGTGGGGCGAGCGCCGGAGCTGCCCCTGGCGGGGAGGCGAGCGGCCGCGGGGAGGCGGACGGCGAAGTGCACGCGTCGGTACACGTCTGGGCGGCGACCCGCTGCCGGAGCCAGGGCCCCACGCGGGTTTCGGCGTGCGGGGGCACCGGCCGAGGTCCCCGGGCTTGTGCCGGGAGCTGAGTTAACGATCGCTGTACACCAGGCGTTTGGAGAACCGTGGCCGCCTCCCCCCGCCCCCAGGAAACTTCGTGAATCCCCCTGCCATGTATGCAAAATATTGTATAAGTGCCATTTCCGGGGAGCCTTCAAACGCTCTAAAAGTTAATGAGGTCTGTGATCAAAGTCAAGAGATTTAGAATAACCGACATAAATATTTCTCTTGGGGATTCAGCGATATGGGGTGGGACCCGACAGATATTTTCATATTTATTTAAGGAAACAACTGGATGAGGATCTTCCTGAATTGAAGGTCGTAGTATATGTACATCAAGAATTTTTAAAAATGTCCAGCTCTTGTTAGCACCTGCAGATCACTTATGTAGGCATTCGAAGCTTCGTTGGGACTTTGACGTGCTTTTGATGATACGATTTCTGTAAACCCCTCGGTTGTAGAATATGCAGAACTTGTTTGAAACAGTAGAAGCCGTGTACATGTTGCCAGATAGTCGGTGATTGCTGTCATGCTGTGTAAAGACCGTGGAATCTTACAACAGTTTTTACCTTCATTGGATTTCATTTATCCTACTTTCGTAATATTAAGTCTAAATGCTATATTGGATTAACTCATTTGAATGCATATTGTGCGCTGCTAAGAGACATTAGACAAAGTTCAGTTTTACATTTCATTTATGGTTGGATGTTCTTTCAAGTGTTTTTTATTTAATTGAAACTTTATTGTTTAATTGAAGCTTCTCTGGGAGATTTGTTGAAAACTCATTATGTAAATAAAATTTGCTATTTTGTGTAATTATGCCACTGGTTTTAATTAGGAAGGCTGTGAAATTAGTATTTCATTATGTATAGTGAATTGTAAAGCGGTTTGACTTGAGATATGAAAGTAGGTTAGGTTTTTGTATTGGAAAATTTAAAATAGAGGGTAATATAGAGGACTCTTGGGTTATGCATTTTGCCTGTTAAGTTCTTGGACAACATGAAGTGCAAGCTTACTGTTTTGGACAGTGTTTTAAGTTCTGTTCACTCTATATGCGATTTTAGAGCTAAGAATGAATTTAATGATTTAAATAAGGGCAATAAGGTACTGGAAGGTAAGTTCATTTGGGAGATCCAGTACGTGCATGATTTACTTTGTAGCAAGACCTATACCACAGTCTTTTTTTTTACATAGACTTTTTTTTTTATGCACAAACATCAGTTATTTATCACATTTAAAATTTAGACAAATGAATTGCAATTTTCAAAAGTCTATAAGGAAAAATAAATCTACATGGTTATAGTTTAAAACAATTGAATTTGCATCATTAAACAGTCCAAAGTCATAAATTTGTTTACTTTTATTAAGTAATGATATTGTGTGTTATTAACAATATATAGAACTTACAGTTTTCTTTTGAAAGCTATGTAGACAAACTTAAGGGAAGACAGTTTCTTTGGAGTTAGAAGAGATGGATTTTTGTTCAGCAGAACTTTATAGGGGTTTTTACACCTTGGTATTAAGGAATGTGGTTTTGACACAGTGAATTTTGGCTTTCAGGAGGCTAATTAAATTTCTACATTTTCCCACAGCCTGAAAAAGGTCCCTTTTCATTATTTTGAATAGTTAGAAAACAACAAACCACCAGTCAATATCTTTCTAGTTCCCCCTCAAATCCCACTGTCTTGTGTGTGTGTGTCTGTGTGTGTGTTCATTTCCTCTTGAGGTAATTTATATTTAAAGTTTTTTCCTAGTTAACTTTTATTTAAATATACAATTTATTTTAAGTTAAATTAAGTGTTACTATCCTTAAAGTTTTATATTTGTTTCAGATGTATATCATAGTGGTTAGACAATTATATAATTTACCAAGTGATCCTCCAACACAGATTTGATGTGGTAGATTTTATTTAAAAGCCAGTCTTTGAAAGTTTTGATATCTGAAATTTGATGTGTTCTGAGAGACTATGTTAGCTGAATTTTGGTGAGCTCTTTGGGTGGTATATGCAAATTTGCAAAATAGCTACTATTTCTGTAAATCCACTCACTGGTTTTGTTTCATTTAAAATTTTAGACTGGTCATTTATACCAGTGATTTAAGAGAATGAACTTTGGTGATTTTGAGTTTTGGTTTGGATTTGTTAAAAAGAGGTAAATGGATAAACATAATCATTTTATTAAAGCACAACTGTACTCCCCTAAATACTAAAGGAGAATTTGATTTATTAGTAGTTTCTTACATTTCTATTGAAGCTTTGCTTTTACATCATGCTTTTGCTAGGCTGTCCCATCACTTTTCTTTGTATTAACATTTCACAACTCATTGCATTCTTATTTTTATTATTTTTATTATAATGCTTTTTCTTTTTTTTTCTTTAATCTTATTATCTGTCTTTTAAAAACTTGTTCTCTAACTTTGTTTTCCATTTTCTCTTTTACTTTTTCCATACAGTGTTGTTACAGATCTTATAGCAGTCGGTTTAAAGGTAGGAATCTTTTACTATCCTTTAATAAGCATTTTTAAATTTTAGTTTTGGCATTTTTTTTCCAATGGTGAAATCATCTCACCTGTTCATAAATGATATGTTTTATTGTCTGATAATAATCTCTTATTTTCGCTTAGCTCCATACTACATGCTCTTATAGCAATTTTTGGATTTTACATATTTATTAAGAGAGGCCACAATATTATCTTGTGTATCTAAAATGTGAGCAAAAGGTTTAGCCCAAAGTTTCACTTGAACTATCATAGTGTGTGTTTATTTTGTTTTGTTTTGTTTTAGCAAATGTAACCTAGGTTCAGATTTATTTTGCTATCGTGTCCTTTTTTAATATCTTCTCTTGGGTATGCTTTATAAGTAATACAATTATAACAGCAGCCGAAGTTTCTTCAATTTCTACTGTGTGCCAGCTGCTTTACATGTATTTTCACTAATTATTATAACAGTTCTTCAAGGTAGGTATTAATATTCCCATTTTAGAGATGAAAAAATAGGTTCAGAAAATTTGTATTCAAGGCATAGTGCACCAGAGTTTACCCATGTCTTCCTGGCTCCAGAGCCTGGCTCTCCACCCCACCCCACCCCCATTATACCTAGCTGCCAGTAATGAGGATTCTGTCTTAAAGGAGGAGAGCTGGATAATTAATATTTCTCAGTAACACTCCTAAGTTATAAGTCATTTTAGTTTTATCAAAGTCTTCTCATTTAGTGGATTCTAAAGTATAAATCAAGTCAGCGGTGTTCAACAACATGAGGCTTTTACAATATAAATGGGCGTTTTAAGGTTCCCTTTAGCTGGTGTTTGGTATAGCTGAGTTGAGAACTTGGTTCTAGAAGCCACTTACAGTTCAGATCAGTGTAGAAAATAGAAATAATTCATAGTTTTATTATATGTATTTTATATAACATTGTTACGTTACTTTTTATCTATCATCTCTCTCGCTAGCAGGTTCCACACTTCCCCCATTTGCATTTATTGGGTCTGTTGGTGACATTTATGTTCTTAAAACACCTTAAAAAATAAGCATAAGTACAGCATACAGCATTTGAGATTAACAATGGTATGTCCAAGATTATAATTGGAACTGTTGCTTATATTATCTTTCGAAGTTGGTGGAATTACTTGCTTTGGCAAATTTTGAGCATATTTTATAACTTGAAAATAAATGGAGGAGCCTCTTTTGGTGGGATGTTTCCTCCCGGCCCCCCTTTGTTTTTTTCTGATACACTTAAGTCATTTTCTCATTTTGGGGTGATAGAGATTAGAAACTGCAGGAAGGAATATTTAAAGTGAATGTTGTTTTGGTCTTATCAGAAATGTAATTTATGATTCTAGAGTTTGGTAAAAAATGAATACATGAGGCATTTTAAAAACAATCATTTGGATTGAGGAATTATGCTTGAAGGATTGTCATGCCTGTTTTCTTGTGGAGAAAAATATATTTTGATGATAACTAAAAGAAAAATTTGAAGCCAGCTCAGGGCTTCTGGCTGAGCAGCACTCTCCCTGTGGGAATGCACTGACCACCAGGGGGCAGCTCTTGCGTTGAGCCTCTGCCCCCTGGTGGTCGGTGCACGTCATAGCAACCTGTCGTTCGGCTGTTCGATCTGCATATTAGCCTTTTATTAGATAGGATATAAACCAAAATTAGTGAATTTAAATAAGTCTTTTAAAAAGTCGGTTATTTTTTCTTCCTCTATTTGCTGTGTGAATATAATGACTAAACAAATAGTTGTAGCCAGTGCCAAGAGTGGATTCCATATGTTGCTTTTCAGGGGTCAAGAGTTTGGGATCCTTGCTCATACTTGATATTGCCAGTCTTTACATTAGCCATTCTAGTGGGTTTAACTAGAATTTGCATTAACCTTTTGTACTTGCACCCTTTCATGTGATCTTTAGCCATTCACTTACCATTTTTTTGTGAATGTTGTCTTTTGCCTATTCATTTCAAGTAGGTTTCTTATAGATAACATATAGTTAGGTCTTTTTTAAGCCACTCTGACAATCTCTGTCTTTTAGTTGATATATGTAGACCACACTTCAGGTATGATTAATTTAGTTGGATTAATATTTACCTTTTACATAACTGTTTTCTATTTATTGACTTGTTTTTATTTTCTTCCCTTATTATTTTTTTGCCTTCTGGTTTTCATTGAATATTTTATGTGATTTTTTTATCGCCTCTTAGCATATTAATTATACTTCCTTTAAGCATTTTTTAGGGTGGTTGCAATATACATTTACAACTCACTTAAGTCCACTTTCAAGAAATAACAGTATATTGCTTTGTGTGTAGTGTAGGTACAATACTTTTTTTTTTTAGAAATGTCAGTCATTTTTTTTTAATTGGTACAATACTTTAGAGCATTCCCAATGCCTTCTTCTTGTCCTTTATGACATTGTTATTCTTCATTTCACTTAATCATATGTAATCATATGCAATAATCACCAAATACATTGTTAATATTATTGCATTAAATGAAGTTATCTATAAGATCATTTAGGAGTAAGTATAAAATAATTTTATTTTACCTTCATTTATTTCTTCTCCAACAGTCTTTCTTTCCTTATGTAGATCCAAGTTTTTGATTTATATAATTTTGCTTCTCCCCAAGGAATTTTTTAAAACGTGTCTTGCAGAATCTACTGACAATAAATTCCTTTGGTTTTTGTCTGAGATAGTCTTTATTCCTCCTTTACTTTTTTTTTTTTTTTAAATATATTTTATTGATTTTTTACAGAGAGGAAGGGAGAGGGATAGAGTGTTAGAAACATCGATGAGAGAGAAGCATTGACCAGCTGCCTCCTGCACACCCCCCACTGGAGATGTGCCCGCAACCAAGGTACATGCCCTTGCCTGGAATCGAACCTGGGACCCCTCAGTCCCCAGGCCGACGCTCCATCCAGTGAGCCAAACCAGCTAGGGCTCCTCCTTTACTTTTGAAGGACACTTTTTATATAGATTCTAGGTTGGTGGGGTGTTTTTTTTTCCTCCCTTAACATTAACTTTAAATATTTCACTGCACTTTCTTACTGCTTGTATGGTTTCTGATGAGAAAGAAACATTTATAATTCTTATCTATATTCCTCTATAGATAAGGTGGGGTTTTTTCCCAAGACTTTTCTCTTTGGTTTTGGTTTCCTGAAATTTGAATAATATGCTAAGGTATTTAAAATTTATTGTGGTGACAGTGGTTAATAGGATCATATGTTTCAAGTTTACATCTCAATACAAGATCTGTATATTGCACTCTGTGCCCGGTGGGCACACAAATGCATCCCATTCTTCGCTAATGTAACTGGTATCTTATTGTCAATATGTAAAATACATTGCATATTGACTTTGTAACTTATGATATTGCTATGTTACTAGTTTTTGTTTTTTGGTTTTGTTTTGTTTTGTTTTGTTTGTTTTATCAGCACAGAAGTCTTTTTTATTTTTTCCCACTTATCATGCCATGAATTCATAGGGAATGGGTCCCAGCAGCTCAGGCTCCTTTCCATTGGTTCTCACAAAGTGTGCTTCTCTGGGTGGAGCGGGCTGACGCTTCAGGTGAACCCAGGTACCTTTCTCTTTGGCTTCCTTCTTTTTCTGATCATTTTCTTTCACACGTTTCAGAAAGCTATCTCTGCTCTTAGAGTGCTTAGTATGCTCAGTACGTACATTAATTCTCTTGGCAAGAATCTTGCCCTTAACTTGCTTGTTCACAATAATGCCCACTGCATGCTGGGTGACATTGTAGACTCTTACAGTTTTGCCCTGGTAACATTTGTGGGGCATTCCTTTTTGAACAGTGCCCATTCCCTTGATGTCCACAATATCACCTTTCTTGTAGATTCGCATGTATGTGGCCAAAGGAACAACTCCATGTTTTCTAAAAGGCCTAGAGAACATATAGCGGGTGCCTCTCCTCTTTCCCTTTGTGTTAGTCATTTTGGCGAATTATTGGAAGATGGCGGTTCCGGCCGAAAGGCTGTTACTAGTTTTTTTAATTCCTTAGAATTGTTATGTACATGATCATGCATCTATGAATATTATTTTATTTATTCCTTATCAATCTGAATGACTTATTTTATTTCTTGTCTTAATGTGATGTTTCGGACCTCCAGTATAATGCTGATAGAGATGATAACATCCTTAATGTCATTCCTGCTTTGAAGGGAAAGTAGTCAGTCTTTGTTAGTTGTACATTTTTCTTGGATGCCTTTTTTCAGGTTCAGAAAATTCTTTTCTATATCTCATTTGCTATTTTTGGGTATCATGAGTGGATGTTGAATTTGGATCTTTCAAGATTTGTATATTTTAGCTAAGATTTGTATATTTTAGCATAAAGTTGTTCACAATATTTCCTTATCCTTTCAATTTCCCTTGGATCTGGAATGATTCTATATTTTTAGTCCTGATATTAGTAATGTGTGTGGTTCCCTCCCCCCCCCCCCCCCCACCCATTGGTCTAGTTAGAGGCTTTTCAATATTACTGATCTTTTTAAAAGCCAATTTTTGGTTTTACTTCTGTATTGGTTGATTCTTCTGTTTAATCGGTTTTACTCATTATTTCCTTCCTATTTATGTTGGGCTTAATTTGTTTTTCTTGACTTGAGTTTTTTTTTTTGTTTTGTTTTATAGCCTAAAACAACATTTATTATTGTTAAGATTTATCTAACATTTTCTGTGAGTCTGGAATATGGGCCTGCCATAGCTGGGTCCTCTGGCTCTGGGGCTAACCAAGGTATTAGTAGATGAGATGTTGCAGTCATCTTCTGGGGACGAAATCTACTTCCAAGCTCACTCAGATGGTTGATGGCAGAATTATTTACTAAGTCAAATGATTAATTATGAAGGTAAATTATGAAGATAGAATTTTTAGACATGCATAGCCCTAGAACGTTTACTTTCTGTTTACCTTCATTTAGGTAGTTGTTTTAAGGATGTACTCCTGTAAACTAAGAACAAGGAAGACAGAACTTAAAAAAAAAAAAAGAG